CTACGGCTATAGCAGTACTGCTACTACTACTGCTACTACTACTACTACTACTACTACTACTACTACTACTACTACTACCACCTACACAACAGGTTTCATCAGGATTTTGTGCTGGTTGTATTGGTTTGGGGCTTAGGGTTGACTCCGGCCAAAATCCCTTCACTGGTTGCTGCAGCTAGAGATTCCACATTGGAGTATTAAGAAGACAGTACCCATTCACGTCTATAGGCCTTGCTGCTATATTGTAAAGATTATTCCTTAATCTCGGGATTTTGGAGCCTTGGGTCAATACTTAAGGGGTCATGGGACTTACTAACTAGGGTTATAAATACGTAATGTAACCATGCTTATTATTACTTATAACCCCAATTAAGGTACTTATAACCTTACCAAGTCCCATGATCCTCCATGTAGAACCCTAAACCCTAAGCCCTATAGATCCCTTTAAGGAACCCTCTAATTAGATCCCTTTAAGGAACCCTATAGACCCCTTTAAGTCTTGAGTTTGCATTGATCATATCTGAACTTATGACTGATGAATGTACGAGGCTTCTGTTAACCTACCGACTGCGAAAGCAAATGCCTACAGCGGCGTAACAAGCCCAAAAGAATAGACCCTAAGCCTCTCCCCGAGTCCCTACGCTCTAAACCCTACACTACACCCTAAACCCCTAAACCCCTGAACCCCAAAGCCCTAAACCCTAAACCGTATATCGCAAACGGAGGTTGCAGGGGGAGTCTTCCGCGGCGATGGTGATGGAACCGACTGCACAGAGTCGCTCGAGCAGGCGGGGAAGCCTCCGTGCACTGAGTGCTTGAAGCCGCATGGGAACCTGCCCAGCATGTACTACAGGGGCCTTAATAAGAATAGGGCCTCTGTGTATATTTTACTATAGTTATAAGAAGGAATCCCTAAAAAAACATTGGTAAGCATTACCGACCGTATATATGGTCAGGCGTCTGGCGTTCCCAGCCCCCCCCCCCCCCCCCAATGGTATGGTCTGATAGGGTGGGGGGGTGGGGGGGCCCTGGCGTGCGCGGAAATGGTTGGGGGCCGTTGGAGCTGCCACCGGATGGTGGGGTGGTGCTGGCGGCCAGGGCTCACGCGCAAGCCCTTCGCAAGCAAGCTGTAGACCCTTTAACGCAGCGCGTGCCCCTGTTTCGAGCAACCTTAACTTGTACTTAAAACGCTACACCCAACCCTAACTGCAGGCTTTAAGCCTAAAGCAGAGCGTACACCGCAAATCCGCCCTAAGCCCTTGTCGACTCGAAGCCTTATACCTTGTAACCGTAAACCCAAAACTCAAAAGCTTAAGCCAAACCCTAAACCCCAAAACCCCACAAACACCCCACAGGGGGAACAGGAACCCCACACCCCACACCACAGGGGAGGGGGGGGCCCACCCTATATCCGGACCATTGACCTTTGGGGGGGGAGGGGGGGGGGGGGCTGCGGAGCGCGTGATCATATATTAGGCTTTAAATGTAGGGTTTAGGGTTTGTGGTGTCATGCATTGTTTATACTAGCACGGACGCCACCACTTCCACTACCGCTACCACGTTCATGGCCATGCCACTACCACGAGCGCTACCATCACCATGCTGATTATTTCTGATGTTTCTCAGTAGCACTAACTTCAGATGCTGGGCTTTTGAGGGCCGGGTTTTTTTGAGGGAAGCCGGAGGGTTGGGTTTCCTTGCCTTGGCTTTCATGGGGTTATGTAGAGCCAAGGTAGAGGCTCTACCGAGGGTTTAGCGGGGTTCGGGTGTCAGGGCTTACAGGTTAGGGTTTAGGGGTTAGGAGTTTTGTTAGAGGCAGTCAACAGTTATGGGTGCACGGGTCCTGCTTTGTGTTTGGGGTTTTGGATGTTGAGCGTTGGGAGTTCGAAGGCAGCTCGTGCGGCTTTTGGAAGGCAGCTTTTGGGTTTCGTGGCCTGGGGCCGGGGCTAAGGAATTCCTTTCCGTATCTTTATGGGTTAGAAGGGCCCCCACCCTGTAATAGTGACTATAAGGATTGTATTTGGGCCCGATTATATTCAAATTATACCACTATTACAAAATGGGGCCCCTTCTAAGTTATGGGTTTGAAGGTCAGAAGCACGCAGGTTATTTTTAGAGCAGATACCAGGGGAGGACTGAGGACCTTGCTTTTTATCCAAGGGTAAAAGGAGGGACCCTTAATAAGGACCCCTAGGTATATATCCTTAACAGGGCTATTATATGCCCATTATATAGCCCCATTATAGGGAATGGGCCCCATTAAGGGTCCCTCCTTTTCCCCTTTGATTTTAGGAACCTGATCAAGAACATCAATGTTCTGTGGTCTCCGAAACAGCGTTATCCAGAGATGCCTTTGGTAGTTTATCTGGTTGCTCTGCTGGTCTTAAGAGGATCCGCTAATGATGTTTTTCAGAGGCTTTGAAGGGTCAAACTTTCATTGAGGATGCCAATCCACAGGGCTTCTGTGTCAGGTTTCTACGGTATTGGTCGCTCCGTGTCGATGCCGAGCCCTAAACCCTGTTGAGTGCTGGTTAGGATTCCCACAGCGGCTTCAAGTGTTCTTAAGGATTGTCATCTTTGCACTTTTTTGCTCATAATGGATCCCTTAAAGGGTCCGCATAATAGATCCCCAAAGGGACCCCATTATAGATCCCTGAATGGGACCCCAGTATACGCAGCAGGGTTTCAAAAATAGGGCTGCCGGCCGACCCCGGGCTAAGAACGGATGGCATTCGCCTCTGCCGTGACGCGGGTCTGCCTCAGAACTAAGCCTTAGAGTCAGTCTCAAACCCTAGCCTTAACCCTGCAAGGGCCGGAAACCCGAAACGCCGCAAACCCCAAACCCATCAGGCCGCCTGTTGAAGCCCTGTCGCACTCGAACCGAAACTAGCCAACCATGGACACTAAGTTTTTTTTTACATTAAAAAACCTCGGTAATCCTTCGGGGTTCTGGGAAGTTTCGTTCACTTTGCGCCTTGGCATCCATGCGAAGTACAGGCCCAAGCAGGCCCCCGAAATAGGGGGCACCTGCAGCGGGAGTTTCACGAGCTCGCACATCGATGTTTCATGTGTTGAGCCCCCCGCCAAACTCAAGACGCATTCTCTACCGGAAATGACCGTCAGGATGTAGGGCTTTTCGTCTTAGAATTCACGCCTCTCGGTCCTCAGCCCAGACCCCTAGGAGGATCCGCAAGGTAGATTCTTTAAGCGGGTTCCCATAAAGTGCGCTTTGGTAGTGTAGGGTCCGACTTTAGGAGATCATCTTCTGGATCCTTGCGGGGATCTGGGAAACCTTTAGGTGGTAGTTTCCGAAAATTAGGGGTACCTTATTTTGGGGGGACCTTATAATAAGGATCCTACTATCTAGGGTACTATATTAGGGTCCCCTATTTTTGGAAACTCCCAGGTGAACCCGCCCGCCTCTGGCAGGCTGAGCCCCTCAGCAAGCCCTATAACCAAACCGTAGTTTGGGTGATTCCTACAAACCCTAGACCCTAAACCGCTTCAATGTCAAGTGCCGCCTGCTGCGTCACCCTGAGATGGGATGCTGCGGCCCACCATAGAAGGTGGGCATTTGGTTCAGGAGGGTGTTGCGGCTATGGGGTTTGACTGCGTTCAGACGCCGCAGGATAAATCGCGCAGCCAACACCTCGAGGTCGCTGATCACCCAAATGCACGGCTGATAAGAATAATAGTAGTAGCAGTAGCAGTAGCGCAGCCGCAATTGTCGCTGGGTTCTGGTTGCTGAAGTGCTGCTAGTGGTAGCTTGGCCACGTATACACGTAGCCTTTGCAACAGTGCAGCGTAGCAAGCACCAGGAGGACTCACAGCAGTATTAGTATAGTAGGTATACCCAGAACGCCAACTGTGAGAACAATATGAACACTTAGAGTTGTAAGAAATTCAACATGACCAGCATAGTAAGCAGAATCCATGACATCAATAATCAGAACTTGCACGGGTAAACCGGATGGTATCGCTGCCCTAAACTCGAACATTACATCTTAAAGCCTCCAACATACCTTCAAGTATCTTGCCACGCCAAACCCTAAACCTCAACCCCGTCATACCATGGCAGAAAAAGGAACGCTTACAAAAAAAACTCAACCCCTCAACCTCTCAACCCCTAAACCCCAAACCCCAAACCAAAAAATGCTGGGAAGCTTCCGAGGCGTGTGAGGGCGAGGTGCAGATGAAGCCGATGCTGGGCACAGTACTCCTGACAGCCGCTCTCCTGGTTGAGGATTAAGGGTTTAGGGTTCAGGGTTAAGGGTTTGGGTTTTAGGCCTCAGGGTTTAGGGTTTCGGGTTAGGGTTTAGGGTTAAGGGTTTGGGTTTAGGGTTTAGGGTTTTAGGCCTGAGGGTTTAGGGTTTCGGGTTAGGGTTTAGGGTTTAGTGTTTAGAGTTGAGGGTGTAGGGTTTAGGTTTAGGACAGCCGCTCTCCACGGTGTTTCGCGTGTAGGGTTCAAGCCCTGTGGGATTTGGAGGTTCATGGGACTTAGTAAGTACAGTCAGAAGTCTGACTGAGTCCCATGAACGCGTAAGCCTAAACCCTAAACCCCTACACCCCTAAACCCTTAAACCCCTAAACCCCTAAATCCCTAAAGGCCTAAACCCCTAAAACCCCTAAGCCCCTAAACCCCAAACCCCAAGCCTTAAGCGCTTGGTCTTGGTCTAAGCATAGGCAGCGTAGGCAGAGGGCAGGACTCCCGAGGCGGCTTTGCCGACATCCTAAGTTCAGGTTTAGACTTCCTATAGTCTTCTTAGGAATTATGTTTGTTATTTTGTTCATACAAAACCCAAGAGAGTATGAAACACATTAATTTTATTATGTTTCTAAGGGGGGGTTAAACCTCAGGGTTATAGGTTTTAGCTGGCCGACATCAGTCTCGCTGCATTCCTAGCTCTCACCTCTACGCTCACGGCGGCCAAGAAGATTCGCCTGGACTCCATGCCCTGGGCTTTTGTCCTGCATCCAGGAGCAACGCAAACATCAGGGTCATGGCTACATACAGCCGTGTCCTTCGGCAGGTAGAGTTGTGGGAGAACGAGTTTCTGCAAGAGAAGCCCGGGAGAAGCACAGGCAAGCCCTGCAGGAGGCCCGCCAGCGAGACGCTGCCGCCGGTGATGCAGGACCTGACAGCAAGAAGCCTCGCCTGACACTGCCGCCGGACTTTCATATTGGCTTCACGTCGGGCTCCGTTCACGGGGTGGTGGGTCGTATGGCTGAGAGCCAGAACCCATCCCGCGCGGCCGCCTTTCTCTCCGAGGGCGGCATCTTCAAGCAGTGGCTCACCGACCAGGCATCTGGCCAGCAGGGCCTCATTACCCAGCTCACTGACCGCATCGTCTGGGACAAAGCTACCGTCAAGGCAAGCTCCTGCTTGCCATGTTGAAGGGATCTAGAGGCATGTGTCCTGCATGTGTGTTTGTCTGCAATTTCAGTTTCTGTCTGCCGGCCAGGATCGAACCACCGTGCTCGTCGTAAGCCCCAAATCTCTAAACACTGTGGAGCCTTAAGTACGTAAAGGTCATGGGACTGAGTAACTACGGTTGTAAGTAAGGTAACTATACCTATGACTAATTACCTTAACTGTACTTGCTAAGTCCCATGAAACCTCCAAGTAGACCCTAAACCCTAAACCCTATAGATCCTTGTCAGGAACCCTATAGATCCCCTTAAGGAGCCTTTTAAGGAGCCCTTTTAGGTACTTACTAAGTCCCATGAAACCTCCAAGTAACCCCAGAAAACCATATTCCAATTATTAAGGCCGCGAGATTACGTAGCCCTGATAGCAACCCTTATAGGACCCTTTCGAAGGCCCCTCTAAAGGAACCCTATTCTAACTATTAGGGCCCCTATATTCTGGTTCCGTATTACAACTATTGTCTATAATGTGCCCCAAAACCCTATTTTAATTATTAAGGCCCCTGTATTAAACCCTTATGGTAGCCTTACAGGGCCTTGTTAAGAACCCTTCGAAGGAACCCGCAATCCTTATAGGGCCTTTTCAAGAACCCTTTAAAGGAACCCGTAACCCTTATAGGACCTTTTTAAGAACCCTTTACAGGAACCCGTAATCCTTATAGGACCTTTTTAAGAACCCTTTAAAGGAACCCTATATGAGCCCCAGAGAAGGCTGTGACTTCGTGCTCTGCCTCGTCCCTGGCGCTGGGCGTCCTTGCGCCCCTGTCGGAGCTGCCTGGGTCGCACTGGGCTTTACTTTATGGGTCAAAGGACCCAATAATTGGGCTTAGGGTTTGGGGTTTAGGGTTCCTTTAAGGGGGTTTAGGGTGACCCAATAATTAGGTATTTGAGCTTAGGGTAGTAGTTATGTAGGTCAATATTTAGGAGAGTATATGATTATGAGGTGCTTGGGCCCTTTAGGGTTAGGGCTTTGAAGGCTTTCAGGCCCTAGTGCTCTAGGGTTTGTTTAGGGCTTCAGGGCTTGTTGGGTTTAGGGCTGAGGGTTTTCAGCCGTTGAAAGCACGGTTGATTTGCGGCTGACAGCGGCGTGGCTTTACGGAAGATTCAAGGTTTTGGGTGCCAAGCTGCTTGCAAATGGAGTGTGAGAGTTTCCAAAACAGCAGCAAAACCCTAAACCCTAAACCCAAAGAAGGCTCCTTGAGCACCCTGAATAGTTCGGAAACGCCCAACCAGCCAACTCCAAAGCTCAAAGCAAAAATCCGACACCCAAACTCAAGCAGGGAGTTCTTAAAGTCAAGGGCCTTTTCTTCTGGAGCCCTAAACGTTTACAGACAACACCGTGATGTAGGAACCTGATTAAGAAACCCTGTGCCTATAACCACCGAAATAGTGGGGTTCATATAAGGAGCCCTAATAAAGGCACAAGGGTTTCTGAATCATGTTCGTTTCTGAATCATGTTCCTACAATATAGAACCCCGTAAGATCCCTTATAGTAATCCGGATAGGAACCCTTAAAGGAACCCTAAACCCCTAAAGAGGCCTTTACATTAGGTTCATTCTCTCCAAGCTCCCACCTCCAAAAGCTGCCTGTCTTGTACCCTACTTGGAACAACTCAGGGAACCTTCAAAGCCTAAACCTGAGAATTTTTAGGGTTTAGGGTGAGCGCCGAAACCTGAAAATTGAACCTTAAGCCCCAAACCTACCCTCGTAAGAACAATTCAGGGAACCTGTAAAGCCTAAAAGACCTAAACCTCAAACCGTATTAACTATGAACCGTAAACAACCCCTAAGCCCTTAAGCCCCTATACCCCAAACCCCCAAACACCTTCCCCTTGAACTCTAAACCCTGTAGATCGCTTCCTTTTAAAGGGAATCCTAAACCCTAAACCCTGTAGATCCTGAACATAAAGGAACCCCTCTAGATCCTTTGAAAAGGAATCCTCAAACCCCCTTCAGGTCGAGAAGCCCAAGAAGACCCTAAACCCTATAGACCCCTTGAAAGGAACCCTTAACCATATAGATCCTTTTAAAGGGAATCCTAAACCCTATAGGTCCTTTTAAAGGGAATCCTAAACCCTATAGATCCGTTTAAAGGGAATCCTACACCCCACACCCTGTAGATCCCTTTACGGGAACCCTTCTAGATCCTTTTAAAGGAATCCTAAACCCTAAACGAACTCTTCTAGATCCTTTGAAAAGGAATCCTCAATCCCCCTTCAGGTCCAGAAGTTACATCGCTGCCCTGGCCGCCCTAGACATCGACGTGCGCAAGCACTTCGAGGCGGGTCGGAAGATCTAGGGCTCCCCCGAGGGTTCCTTTAAAGGGATCCCTTAAGGGTTCGTTTATAAGGGATCCTTAAGAAATCCTTTAGGGTTCCTTTAAAGGGATCCCTTAAGGGTTCGTTTATAAGGGATCCTTTAAGGGTTACTTTAATCCTTTAAAGGGTTCCTTTCAAGGGATCCTTAAAGGTTCTTTTGAGAATTCTATAGGGTTTAGGGTCTTGTTGGGCTTCCGGGGTTCCTTTTGAGGGCTCCATAGGTTTTCGGAGACTCCAATATCCCTTAACTAAGGAATACCTAGGGGTTCCTTTAAAGGGATCCTTAAGTGCTCCGATAGGGTTTAGGGTTTAGGGTGCCCAGAGACTCCAAGAACCCATAGTTAAGGAATCCCTAAATTATGGTAGGATGCTTAATATGCTTTAGGGCATTCCTTAAGTAAGGGGTATTGGAATGTCTGGGCTTCCGGGCTTAGTAAGTACAGTTATAAGTACCCTAATTGGGGTTATAAGTACATATGGGTGTAGTTACCTTAATTATAGCCCTGAATACTAAGTCCCAGGAGCCGTGAAGTAAGGTATCCTGCAAAGGCGCTTTCCTGGGCAGCGGAAACGCGAAGGGTTCAAGCAGAAGGAAGATCATCAGCGGCGAGTCACGGCCGAGCGTCGGTTTAGGGTTTACCTTAACTCTGAAGGATCTACCTTTTTTAAGGACTTATATATATATATATATATATATATATATATATATATATATAAGGAAATCATAATAAGGAACCCTGAAAAGGCAGGTTATTCAGGGTTAAGGTAGTGTTTAGGAAACCCTAAACCCTTTAGTGTTTAGGGTCAGTTGATCGAAAGAGAGTCTTTGGTGCTGGGCGAGGCGTGGGCCGCAGAGATTTTGTTGGAGGAGAAGACCCGACAGCTGGCGAAGATGACCTGCCACAGGCGACAAAGAAGCAGGAGGACGTTCGTCGTCTTGGTACCAGGCAGAGGAGAAGGCGCATGACTTCAGTGAGATGCTGAAGAAGCAGCAGCAACAGAACGCCGCGCGCATCACAGACATCACTGCGGCCAGAGCTCGGAAAAGGCGCGGAACGATGCAAGCAGGGACCAACAGACACACTTGGCTGAGAAACCTGCTTCTTCGATCCCAAAAGGAGTTTATAGGGGCCTAAACAATTACCAATCAGTACTAATCTGGGGGTCCTTTTTTTAAATTAGAGTATTACTGGCCCTGAAACCTTGTCCTAACTATTAAGGCCCCTATATACAGCTGTCACTAGAAGGAGTTCATGGCTTCAAGCGATTGAGGCTCTAGGCCTTCGGGCTTTAATGTAGGAGCCTGACTAAGAAACCTTGGGCCTTTATTTTGGTCCTTTCCAAGAATCCTACTATGTTGGGGTCTATAGGGCCACGGTTTCTTAATCAGGTTCCGACATTAGTGGTTTAGTGGCTCTAGGGTTTTAGGGTTTTCGGCTTCGGGATTTAGGTATTTCCGGGTGCGGGTTTTAGCGGCTTTTGGGGTTTGCGGGTTGGGTTAGGGTTCAATTATGGGGTTTTCAGGGTTTAGGGGTTTTCAACGCAACACCCTCAAGCGGCTTGGGTGCGAAAAGGGGTTTTTACGGGTCTAGGAGTCAGGCAGATCAGGTACCTTTATAGATGTTAGGGGTCTTCTTTTGTTTGCTGAGGGTTGTATTGTAGAGATGTTTGTTCGTCTTGTGGGTAATGGCCTTAATATGTTGTTATAGGAGGTTTGAGCAGTTTCTCACAGGTTTTACGGGGTATTGTCGGGGTTCAGGGTGAATGACGGGAGGAGCGGGGACTTATGAAGATGATTAAATAGGGGCTCTAACGTTTTTGTTTTGAAGCAAGGGTTTCAAAGGTTTTGGGTGTTCAGAATCTGGCGTGGGGTTATAAGTTACACAGTATAGGTTTCAGGGGTTTAAGGGATCTCAATACTTGGAAGCATGTTGTGGGGCATGTTATAGTATAAAGGTATGCTGGGAAATGAGGTCTCTATGTCACTCAATCCTCAAAGCTTAAAGCTTCGGGTTAGGCTTTTTGATTTTTGGGCTTATGGGCTGTCTCGGGTTTAGGATTTCGGGTGCAGGCAAGCTTCATGCAAGAGGGTGACGCTGAAATCCAAGGCAAGAGGCTGAAGTCGAATCCCACCCTCCCCAAATAAACAAGCTCAGAAGGTTGTTCCTTAGGAATCAAAATCAGCATTATCTGCACCAGGGTTTTGAGATATACTCTATTTTTGAAATCGTGTCCAAGAAAGAGGCTTGTAGACGGGAGGGTGTACCCTTGAACAGACGAAAGCTGCACTAGCAAGCAGATTTTTGAGAAGAGACCTCTTGGCCTTGAAAGCCTTCTCTCAGCCCTGGGTGTCCTTTGGGTTTATGTTAGAAGCTGCCCCCACCCTGTAATAGTGGTATAATAGGAATATAATAGGGCCCTAATATAATATTAATATAATCCTTATGGTCACTATTATAGGGTGGGAGCCCTAAACCCTAAACCCTAAACCCTAAACCCTAAATGGGGGCAGCTTCTGAGGTTTATGGTTTTGGCTCGGGTGTAGCATTTGGTAGGAGGCTGAAGTTTTTCGATTTAGGTTGCTCGGCTTAGGGTTTGGCGGAAGTAGGGTTTAGGGTTTAGGGTTTAAGGGTTTAAGGGTTTAGGGTTTATGCTTTGAAGAAGCGGGGGACAGAGGGGGTCTTTGCTGTAACCGGGCTGCTGGACAACGAGGCCTGCTGCAAAAAGGGTTTAGGGTTTAGGGTTTAGGGTTTAAGGGTTTAGGGTTTAGGG